TGGTAGTGTGAGTCTTTATAAGCGAAGCATTAGATAGTCAACATTTTACCCATTGTAGCCTCTTTCCCTGGCATGTGGGAACGTACGATAACCATGTGCAGTGCCGGCAAGGTGTTCGGTGTGTCGGGCTGGAAGATCGGGTGGACGATTGGACCGGAGAGATTCATCAATGCAATGCAATTGATTCAGCAGAACACCATCTACGCGGTGTGTACGCCACTGCAAGAGGCCCTTGCACAGACAATTGAGGAGATTGTTTCAACCTTGGATACCAAGGACTGCTTCTTCCATAAACTGTCGCTTGAGATAGCAGAGAAGCGAGAACGCTTTGCGAACGCCCTTGAATCAGTCGGAATGTGTCCAGTTATCCCACAGGGAGGCTTCTTCATGCTTGGCAACATTTCCAATGTCGGTGCGTCTGTCACACACACACACACACACACACACATTCAAACCTATGCAATTAGATTACATTTGTAATTCTGATTCACCACACAAGTCAACCAATCAAGTCACTGCTTTTGCTGTTCCGACCTTTAGAGGGACCGAAGAGAGAGAAGGACGACAAGCGACCTTACGACGTCGTGTTCAACGAATGGATGATGATCAACAAGGGCATCGCTGGCGCCCCACTTTCCGCCTTCTTTTACGATGAAAAGAGCTCATTCAGTGATGACTACCTTCGTTTTTGTTTCGTTAAAGACGACTCCACATTTGAGAAGGCGTTGGAGTGCCTGACGAAATGGTGAACCACTTGTTTTGACTCATTAACCTGTTGTGGCGTGGTGTGGCTTGCCTAGTGTGATTTATTGAATAAATTGTGGAATTCAACTTGTAACGTTGATGGTGTTCCAGAGGCTCTATGTTGCATTTTTACACGGAACGTTAATGCAACTCTTCGAGGTAATAATTTCAGCTGTTTGTTCGACACGTCGATGGCTTCGCAGAATAAAATAAAATAATAGGTTTTGGCGAAGATTAAGGTGAAAGTCGAAGCGGAAGTCGTCTGAATGCGGAGATGCAACAACTTATATATCGGGATGATCTGAGACCGATGCGTCAGGCAAGTAGCACTGAGTGCAGTTTTGTCGGTGTGAAGGTAGATGTGTCTTGGTACTTGAATCGATATGGTGTAGTGTGTAACGGCTGTTTCGGCAACTACGCAAGTTTTGGGAGCACAGGCTTGTTTTCTGCCGTCTTGTGTCTGTTCTGCCATGAGTTATGTTGGCGTTGGCCTTTGAAATGCATTAAAATGCAATCGTGTGGAATGCTAATGTGCTCATTTGTTGTCTCCGCGATTTGTCCTTGGCGCAGTCAGGTTCGGTGTCTCATTCGTGTCTCACAAATAACTTCGACGTTGGAGATGGCTCTTCCGCGTCGGTTGGTAGTCTTAAGCGTTCAAGAAAGCTTTAATTATAAGACTCTGTAAAGGCCCCATAGGCTTCTGTACCTGGAGATTGGAACGTGTAGAAATCGTCGGGGCACATCAGAGAGGTCTGGAGGCATTGCGATGATCAGCCATGGACTAGGTCTGCAAATTGGTTGTTCCAATTGCCGCCAGTAAGCCTTGCTGTTTGCCATCGACACTTTACGGTCAACGCCTGGGTGACGAGAATGAAAATGGAACAGAATGCGCTAGCGAAGTGATTTAGGAGGTGGCTCATTCGCGTCGGTCGGTAGTCTTAAGTGTGCACGAATGTTTTACCCGTCAGACACTGGTTAGGCTACATAGGCTTCTTTATCTGGAGACTGGAACGTGTGGAACGTGAACGCAACCTGTTCACTAGTCGTCGGGTCTCCACCAAGTAGTCTACAGAAAATCACCTATATTGGCCAAAAGTATACCGACTCGTTTTTAATAACTTAGAATGAATTAGTGTCTTTCCTGCAGAGATATGCTTTCTGCTTAGAAAGTGATTATCATGCAAGTCACAGCAGGTTCGAAAATGTCTTTGCCCGATTTACATTTGCTGGAACCCATGACACTGTGTGGTGCAAAATGTCGCGCTTAAAGAAGCTAGGATTCCAGATAGCGGGTAGGTACGTAGGGTTAGGCCTGCATCTGTTAGGTATTTTCGTGTGCTGGACCCTAGCATTCCACCCTTACACATTCAACCCTTTTTCAATGTCTGTGATGCGCATCATCACACTGTCACGCCGTCAGTAACTACGCCGAAACAATGCGATGTGTTGAAATTAACCCACATCCAGTTGACCACCAGATACTGTGCGTTTGATTGGCTAATCGCTCCGTTGCACTAATCAGTTACTAAAGGCGTTTAAAGTGCATTCCATACTGATTACCTGGACGTCACACATTAGCGAAAAGTACAGGCAATTTGAAGTACACAGAGACGCAATTGGCAGGCTCGATGAATTGTGCTAACGAGATTGCACTTTTGAAGAAACGAAATCGTCCCCTTAAGAGTCAATCTGGGTGGTAAAAGGAGACGTGGTAGGCGTTGGATGAAGTACATCAGCGTTGTGTGTTTCAAAGTCTTGCTGACGAATAATTCGAGTTTTTGGGCCTTAAGAGCCTCGAGACAGCCCAGTGTCATTCCAGGTTGCCATCAACACTTCTTTTGCTTTACCTGGACAGCCTTAAAATCGGTAACTTGTTAGGGAATGTCAAAGTAGCATTCGGTTTAGTCATTGGCCGTCGATGAATCCCAAAGTGATTGTTACGTTTGCCCGTAACAATAGAGAAGACCACTTAAATAACGGTACCAGATCCCCTGTTGAAAGCTGGAATCGACGTTCCCAAGCTAATACCAGAACAAGACCAGAGCTCGAGTAGAGAGCTGTATTCACGTCAGCCACGTGCGGCGTGCAGTCCAGAAGTGAAAACTAATTCAAGTCAGGTTGACCTTGACTTGATAAAAAGTGTAGCAAAACAAATGTTAGTGATCAACTGTAAATAGCATCGGAAACCAATCTTGGGGAATCGTGGATCCCCAACAGATTCTCTATCGTTCAAATTTTAAAATGCTATGTGGATTATTGCTATAGTTACCATGCAACATTCAAAACCAACAGTTTAATATCAACTAGTGAATGATTTGTTTTTGAAGACCACATTTAAAATTCACATTTCTTTAAAATAATAAATGCGTATTTTTTAGAAACAAAACATTTGAATACCTGTTTGGCGCCGCATTCGTAGTAGACATGTGTCACGCACGCCACACGCCATGACAGTGAGCTCTGTTCATACCTGGTAACTTTTCCCTTATTTTTACCTTTTTAGGCCTCATGAACAATATCGCTCTGTTTACGCTCTTTCTCCCCTTTTCGTCTTGTAAGCCGTGTCCCGAATAAAGTCTTCTGGTCCTATTCTCTCTCCTTCTCGAATTCTGCGTCTAGTGCCTGACCGGATCGAATGTCTTGCGCAAATCCGTCTCTAGTCTATCTCTCTTCCTAGGTCCAAGCCTAGCTCGCACGTAACATTTTTGGTGGCAGCGGTTACCCTCTGATGTTTCATACCCAGCATCAGAGTCGAGCTCACTCCCCTCGCAACAATCAACTCTCCCTCACACGCTCCTTTTCCCTCTTCACCACATCACTCCCAACTCTATCCTTTCCAATATTCCCCCGAGAACAGGCCAGGCCAGGCCCCCGTCACACCAACGTGTTCCCATATGGTCGACTGGAAGGAAGAATCTGGACACCACGACTAACACCATAATGACTGCGGGTTTTCCTTTGTAGCCAACAACTCTCGGTTCAGGAACCTCCGCGTCCCTCAAGTCCGCATCCCATCACACCCAACAAAGCACTGAGGGCAGTGCTTTTCTCGACAGGGGGCTCTTTGACGCGCGCCATTCGACCCACGCACGCCGGTCTGGCCTGTTCTTTGTCCTCCTCTCCCTTCCCGCACTCTCGCCTTCCGCAAGGCACGCCCGTGAGTCCGAGGGCAACGCCAACCCTCCTCGCGGCCATCCCTTTCCCTACTCCAACTCTTCCAAAGCTCTTACCCTCTGAGTTTGTATGCGGTAGTATGGAATACATCCGGTTCTCCCAGCTATTCTTCTATCGTATGCCTGGTAGCTAACCATGATGGTGTGGCTATCTAAGAGGGACGGGCTAACGGTCATCTCCCTATTTAGGTCCCCGCTCGGTAGGCACGTTACACATGCATGCTGGGTTACACCATGATATTTGCCAACATTCGTTTTCAATAGCTTGTACAGCCAGCGATAATGTAACAGTTTATTCTTATAAAATGTTTGATCAGTAGAAAGTAAAACCATTAACAATCTGTTTAGATTCAAAAATAATGTCTAAGTGGATCGAATTAAATTCAAGAAAAGATTTTGTACCGAAAGAATTAAGTTATTTGCTATTGGGCAAGTTGTGTAACTTCATGTAAATTTGGCGTGTACCTTATTAGACATTCTCACCTAATTCACGGACATTGTGAATTGAGTTCACTTTCTGGCGTTTCCTTCTTCTGCCCACATTTGACCGTGGCGTTGATATTCTTCGCATGCACACTCATCGTTTTGAACTTGTTGGCGGTACGTAACCAACGAAATCCATTAATTCCTACCAGGTCAGCCCCATCAATTAGATATTTCCTTTAGCTGTGCATACCGCTGTATAACATGCAATGGGTTAATGTGGGTGAACTGGCTATTCTATGACAATTTTTATATTTTTAACGGAGTGAAAGTCAAATTAGATCAGCCACACCAAATTTATTCTAAGTCAGGGCTGCAACCTACTTGTCACTGTGGCATAATAATAAGTGTAGTATTTATGAATGCGTGGTGGAATGCTGTGCAATAATGTCAAGTGTCAATATAACGGTCATGCTCTTTGATAGTGTCGTGGCCGTAGCAACCACGGTTGCTAATGTGATTTGCCTAGGTAATATTTACTTGAGGTAATGCCTTCAACGGAATATTTAATTTATCCCGCAACGTTTAGGTAAATCTCATTATCATGGATTGGTTCCAACAAGTAAGTTTCGCCGATATCCAGCGCTGCTGCAATTGCCAAGATACGCAGTCTCCGCCTCATCCACACCAACCTGGCCACCACAGAAAATGCTGTCATTGCTGCCATGTCCATCAGAGACCGCCCCACTTAACAGCTACCACAGGTACTCTACGCTGTCCCAGTCACCGGCAGTGCCGATCAACTCGCCACCGCCTCAGACAACACGCTGCAACTGACCATCAGCAACGCTTAATTTAAATGGTCTATGTGTCCCCTCTCATGAGACCTCTAGCAGTCGGATCGGAGAAGCTAGTCCACTTGCCTTGTAAACGACTTCCTGACATCTGGGAAACGTGTCGTGTTGTCTGAATCACTTTGCCCGCGTCTCCTGTTCCAATTTCGTTCTGTTCACGCCGGCACCGGTCGTAGCATGTGCATCGCAAACAGAAAGGCTTGCTGGCCACAATTGGAATAACCAATCGCAGACCTAGTCAGCGACTGCCTCCAATGCTACCACACCACTCTCATTTGTCCCGAAGATTTCTACACGTTCCAGCCTCCAGATACAGAAGCCTATGGAGTCTTTTCAGCGTCTTATAATTAAAATAATCGTGAACGCTTTAGGCTGCCAACCGACACGGAAGAGCCATCTCCAACCTCGGACTTAGTTGTGCGACATGAATGAGACATTAAACCTGACTGCCCCAAACACAAATTGCAAAGACTACAAATGAGAATGTTACCATTCATCGCGATTGCATTTCAGGGCAATTCAAATGATATCGAGAACGAAAAAGTAAGTCACAACAGACACAGGCAGCAGAAAACGAGCCCGTGCTCACAAAACTGAGCAGTTGCCGAAACCGCTGTTGTAGGCAGCTCCATGTCGACCCACGGAATGGAGGCAAATCTCTGTGGGCACCAACAAATTTACACTCAGTGTTACTTGCCTATCGCATCGATCTCAGATCATCCCGATGTATAAGTGGATGCACCTCCGCATTCAGACTACTTCCACTTCGACTTTCGCTTTAAACTTCGCCAAAACCTATAATTTTCTTTTATTCTGCACAGCCATCGACGTGTCGAACAGACAGCTAAAATTATTACCTCTGGGAATTGCAATAACTTCCCGTGTAAAAACGCAACAGAGGACCTCACAAACAACATCAACAATACCAGCTGAAGTCCACAATTTATTTAGTAAATCTCACAAGGCAAAGCACACTACACCACAACAGGCTAAATATGCATAACAATTGTTCATGAAGTGCAACTGGTCGAAATCACAGCAGTTGGCATTCACCACTTCTTGAGGCACTCTTCCACCTTGTCAAGGGTAGAATCGTCCTTGACGATGCAGAAACGAAGGTAGTCATCTGCAAAGGAACTATTGGCATCGTTAAAGAAGGCGGATAGTGGGGCGCCGGCGATGCCCTTGTTCTTCATCATCCACTCGTTAAATACGACGTCGTAGGGTCGCTTGTCGTCCTTCTCTCGCTTCGGTCCCTCTAAAGGCGAAACAAAGGAAGCAGTGACTGGTTTACTTTTGTAATAAAGCAGAAGTAGAACTGCAATCTAATTGTTTCAAATTGTCTTTGTGTGTGTGTGTGAGGGTGACAAACGTACCGACATTGGATATGTTGGCAAGCATAAAGAAGCCGCCCTGTGGAATGACTGGACACAGTCCGACTGACTCAAGGGCGTTCGCAAAGCGGTCTCGCTTCTCTGCAATCTGAAGCGACAGTTTCCGGAAGAAGCAGTCGTTGGTATCCAAGGTTGAAATCATTTCCTCAATTGTCTGCGCAAGGGCCTCCTGCAGAGGGGTCCACATCGCGTAGGTGGTGTTCTGCTGAATCAACTGCATCGCATTGATGAATAGCTCCGGTCCAATCGTCCACCCAATCTTCCAACCCGTCACACCGAACACCTTGCCGGCACTGCCCACGGTTATCGTGCGTTCCCACATGCCGGGGAAAGAGGCTACAATGAGTGAAAATGTCGTCTGTTGAAGCCTTCGTTAGTGAAACCTCATAATACCGCAGGTTTGATCCCGTGTCTAATGCATTATGTTCAGAATTCTAATCAAAAGTCGTTTTCAGCTGCCGCGTTCGTAACTAAGTGCAAACAATCAACGTTCATGAACATATCTTTGATTTGCATGCGTTCTTGTAAGGGATTGCAAAGAACAAATCGTATTGGTAAATAAGAGCAGTCAAAACCATTGGCAAGTATATGCAGATTTTGGTAGGTTAAGCTCTAGCACCAAAATATTCTAGCAACGCACCAATCTTGTAGTGTTTGTGAGGTGGAAACACAAGCCACTCGTAGACTTCGTCAGATAAGCAGATGAGGTCATGGCGAATGCAAATGTCGGCGATTTTCTTTATCTCCTCTTTTGTAAACACCTTCCCACCTGGGTTGCAGGGAGTGTTCAGCAGAAGCATCTTCGTCTTCCTCGTGATCTTCAATTCCAGCTCCTCCCAATCGACCGTGAATTCGCTGCTATCGACACGGCACTTCGTATCCTGGAAAAACGAGGTAGAGTGGATGGTGACCGCGTGGTTATTTGAGCATTGCAGCAGACTTGGCTAGAACTCACTAACCTTTGGCGGAACTAATGGAACACCCACGTAGACGCCTCCTGCAGCCTCTATTTGCGGCGCGTAGCAATCGAAGGCGGGCTCAATCACGACAACCTCATCACCTGGGTCGATGAGTGCTAGAAATATCGTCGACAGGGCACCGACGCCGCCAACACTGATGATTATCTCAGTCAACGGATTAATGCATCGATCAGCACCGAAGGTGGCCTCTCGCAGATTCTCCGGGATTTCACCAGAAACGCACGGGTCGTGACGGAACCGTTGGTTGTAAAGCTTTGCCAGGGCATTCACCAGACGCAGGTGTCCCTACCAATAGGAATTATTTCGTCTATCACCTACATCTACTCAGTGTACTTAAACAAGCCTTATTCATGGCAAACTAACGGTTGATCTGGCGTACTGATGCAGCGACGGTGACACGTTGTCATCGGCGACATACCGGAGGTTTCTCAGCACGCGATTGGTGAATATGAAATCTGGAGATCCCCGTGTCAAGTTGATGGCCTTCTCTTTGTCAATGGTGTCATTCAATTCTTGCCAGACCCTCGGCTTCAAGTTGAGAGTGCGTTCAGCTGGGATTATATTTGACATGCTTCACAGGTATAGCTGCATTTAAAGAAATAAACCATGTGCATAGAAGCTCAAACACTTTTTCCTCAAACTCTTTTTTACTGAGTCATTTTGTTTGAGTCTAGTGATGCTATAAGAACGAATTGCTTTTAGTGTCGCAACTACAAAATTTTACAATTTGCAAGTCTTGATTTCGAAGAAACTCTTCCACGTAGAACTTGTAGTAATCCGCTTGAATCAGGTCTTCATCAACCTCGAGTTCTACGTCGTCCAACGCAAAGAATTTTGGCGAATCGCCTTAGTGACTTGGAGGTTGCTCCGGACATCTGGACTAACGGGGTTTTGTGGACAGCTAATGCCTTTCCTTTATTTCGTCCAATCTCGCACCATCTTGTTCTCCTCTGCCATCGTTTGAGGTCTGTTTCATCCATTACCCCTTCACACAGCGATTACCGGCTTGACGGTGATGCCAAACACACAA